CTTTTTCACCACACATCTTGGACTGCAACATGATATGTTGTCGGACCAAATGAAAAATAGTGGGATTAGTTTGTTTCCATTTTAGTTACCCATACATGTATCTTCTCCAACTTGGATGTCTTGAAGCAAGCAGATCCAGCTGTGTTTTAAAAGCCATTGGAACGTCCAGGATCAGATCTGGATGGCAAATTCAAAGACTCGTTATTAACAACCCGCAGTGTGTGGGATTCCAGTGTGCAAGCTTATCCTAAAAGCAGGGTCAAAAATCTAGCTTAGAGGAGTTTAAAGTGTTTTCACCGCAAAGCAAAAGCTTTGCAAATCTGCAGAAGGAGCTGCCGTGACACAAGAGCGTCTGTTACAAAAAAAATAATTACATGGCCATCATCTGGTTGTAATCTGCAAAATGTTTCATCCATCGTGATTTTGGTTGAAGTTGAGAATGCAGCTCCACAACAAATGAGACCAAAAAACGAGCTGTGGAGAAAACAGTTGGCCACTCTGTCCTGTCTGGAGGCCCAGTTCTAAGAGCAGGGAAGCTGCTTTAGGGGACGATTTCAGGCCAGCAGTTCAACCCATTTTCTGATGATCGTCTAATTATTGGTGCGGTAATTCAGTTCACGGCATGCTGGAGCCGAAGGATCCAGCTTTCTTTCTATGAACCGATAAAAAGTTCTTGTCCAAAATGACCAAATGAAATTCAGAGTTTTCTCCAAGCTGCACCAGTGGAATGATAGAAGGCGTTGTGACTGATCAGCTCACGCTCTCCTACATTTAGTGAAGTGCCAGCTACCACAATAACCATGTCTAGCCTTCCTTGCACAACCCCAGATGTTTGTCCTTTTCAGATGGCCACAGCACAGACCAACTGTTCCAGTAAGTTGACGAAAACGACAAAACAATGGTGTGACCAGCACCTGGCGTCCTCTGTCTCCTGAACAGTAAATTCAGCTTGTTTTGCCCCTATGTGGCACCTGTGGGCTTTATGACTTTCTGTGGGTCGTTTTCCACCTGCTCACACAGAGAGAGAGAGGGAGAGAGAGAGGGAGAGAGAGAGAGAGAGAGAGAGAGAGAGAGAGAGAGAGAGAGAGAGAGAGAAAGGCGGGTAAAATCTTCACTTCAAGGATATAGATGGGCCACCTCAAAATCAGAAAGATTAGGGGCTTAATCTGTCAAATATCAAATTTTAAAGATAAAGTTTCATGTTTCTGTGCTGTAATTGCTGCCTATTTATCTAAAAGTATCATTTGTATTTTATTCTTTTAATATTTTATCATGTTACAGCTGGAGCAATTTTTATGTATTCAATGGGTCTTCACTTGATGGACCCAAACAAAGCAGTCCATTATTATATTTGCATTCAGGTATCCTCAGTCAATACTCGTAGAAGAGACTTTTTCTCTACAATTAGAGCTGCAGTATTTGGCTCTAAAACTTTTTACTTTGTAAAACACCTCAAGCTCACTCGGATTCGATGGTGGGAATCTGTTAAAGTCAATCTTCTACTAGATTGTTCGGTTTTTAGCTTTATTTAAGATTTATTTTCTGTCTCATGAAATCCCAATTAATTGGCTTGTTCACAGATTCTCCCACCTGAGCTGCTAATTTCTGCTGCTCCTCCAGACTTCACATGAATCTTTTCACAGATGATAGACTAAACAACATTTAGGATACTGTTTTAGAACCTAATCCTGCTTTAATCTTCACAACCTCTGCTGTGTCCCTTTGTCTTCTTGATGCTGCTTGTTCATTAACATTCTCTAAAGATCCTCTGAGGCCCTCAGAGAACGGCTAAATTTACTGAGATTAAATATCTGCAGAGTTAAGGGGACTGGACACTTTCCCAAATAAATTTAAAACATTTCTTCACATGCACTATTGTACTTTAGACTACCACATGAAATCCCAGTGAAAAACACTGAGCGCTGTGGTTTTTACATGGATGTAAGTCATTTTGCAAGACATTGCATATAATAAGACGCTTAATGTCATAACTTCCCAGAAAAGTCTCCATGATTAGATGGAAAAGGAAATCTTTGTGAATAAATTCCCCCCCACAGCTCCTCTCAGCCACATAGGTCACAGAGTGGGTTGCTCTTGGACTGAATGAAATAATGTGATACACAACAGTTAATTTCCTCAGAGATTAGGTGCTCTCTTTCTCCCATTCTCTGTCTTTCTTTCTCTCTCTCATCTAAAATTCCTGCAAAATCACCGTCATGCATAAACTTGAACAAGAGACTAAGGCTCTTAACAAGCGGCCGATACAAGACGACAATGTGCAGAAAATGTCATGTCACCGCTCGGGTCACAAGGGAGAAAAGCTGGGGATGTGTAGGCCGTTCAAAGCCGGCGAAGAAGACTGAAGAGTCTTTGATGAAGCACAGACAGAAAACCCTGAGCAGAGGATGACAAGGAATCCTGCATGACACACACAAAGCACACTTCACACTCGAAAAGTGTAAGTTTTGGTACCTTTCTTGCCTCCTAATTATCCAACAACAGTACAATATAGCAGTACATTAGACACGCCTTTTAATCTGATCTCACAAGATGACTCCCATTTCTCTACACTCTTTCCTGTTGAGTAAAAAGAGACACTCTGTTTGTCTTGAAACACGCTGTTTGGGTCATAAAGATGAACGGTGAGAATATGAGCAGCTCAGCAGCTGTGGAAACACCTACATTCATGAGTTCCTCTCTTGTTCAAGGAATATCACTGTTTTCTTTTTCTCTTTGAAGTAAGTGGTAATAAATAAAATACAATGGTCTGAAATTTAATTGAGAGGCAGATAAAGAGTGAGATAAAAGGGAGGGGAGGGGGAGGGGGGGCTAATTATGCGTGACGATTGTTGATGGCTTGATTGTCTGCGTCCAGCTGCACAGAGGAGCAGGGAGAGGCGAGGGGAGGGAGAGGGAGAGGCAGACTCACTGACGCCGGCCTCGGAATTCTCCCATCCATTGAAAGAGAGACCCGATTGTGTCCGCTGCCTTTCCAGCAAGCACCTGATCTTTGCCCAGACACACTGCTGCGTGTGTGAGTGTGTGCTTCCCACAGATGTACCCAGACTCTTGCAATGGGCAGGCAGGGGTATGCAAAAAAAAAAAAAAGAGAGAGAGAGAGAGAGGGGGGCAGGGGGAAAAACAAACAGAAAAAAGTTTGGTCTTTCTAAATAAAATGACCGCAATTTGATGAATTGACCTCAGACCAGATCGTTTCCTTGGTAGCTTCATTCCCTGAATTCACCTCCAGCGGTTATTTTCCCATCAGATCTGGGAAATGTGAAGCGATATCCCCCCCTCTCCACCCACCGCTTCTCTCTTGACATATTTAAGAAAGCTATTTAAGGTCAAAGTTTTGTTTGCACAACCAGCGCCGCTCACATGATGCCTCTTTAAAACAGCGCCCGGATCGAAGTCTTGTCTCACGGTTCAATATTATGGTTTGCTCTGAAGTGAGGTCGTTGAGTGACTTGTCACAGAGGGTCAGTGGTTGTGAGGAGGGGGAGCAGGAGGAAGGCAGTTTTAGCTTTAACATCTGGAGGGATATCTCCAACCGTGGGTTTTTACGCACACATGCGAGTCTGAAGATAAGAGGTTAATGATCTTCTTAATCGCCCATTCCCATCTCCTCATCCAATAACAAGTTCTTTGAATGATTATCATTACTGTTATAGCTAGAAAAAATCTTGAAGAACGTGTTATTGTGCGTGATTTCCAAAAATAGTGATAATAAAATTAATAACAACAACAAGCAGAGTGTTACACTTATTAAACGATGCCACTTTTCTTATTTATTGTGTTTACTTACATCTTATAAACCTAATTGTCTTAAAGTTCTACCACGTAATTCAGCTGAATACAACTTCAGATCCAAAGAAGAAGAGTGTGGAGCGGCGGTTCCATCCAGGACTGGCAGCTCCTCTCAGCCAATCAGATCTCTGAGCGCCTCTTCGCCTCTCCGCTCCGATGGGTTCTTGAGGGAGGGCGGGCCGTCTGCCAGAGAGGGGAGTGTGCGTCGGGGTGAATGGATGACGTCGGGAGGCTGGCGCCAGCATGTCTGGGACTGGCGCGTTAGATCAACACAGCTGGGCCGGGATAGGACACACAGCTGGCTCAGGCCTGCATTCCTCCACAAAACAGGATTGTGAGAAAAGGGGAAAATAAGACCCAAATAGGAGCAGAACGGGACGTGCTTCGGTGTAAACTTAAAGGGGGCAACATATAAATCTGCTCCAAAGCAACATTTATGACAGTTTCACTCAGAGGGTGACAGACTTTATCATCTCAAAAGTCCTGATAATATATGGAAATGAATTCTTAATAAGCAACAAGAAGGCAGAAGATGCTTATGATGCAAGATCATAACGGGAAACCAACTGAAACTGATTGCTTCTTCCAAATTACATAACTTGATTTGTGTTGAAACATTCTGGTTTCACTGACCCTTTCCCCATATTACATCAGTTTGGGGTCACACAGTCCAAATATCTTTTAAAACAATTTTGAATGTGATGTGCACAATATCTATCTATCTATAGATAGACCATATCTATCTATCTATAGATAGATAGATTTGGTCTATCTATCTATCTATCTATCTATCTATCTATCTATCTATCTATCTATCTATCTATCTATCTATCTATCTATCTATCTATCTATCTATCTATCTATCTATCTATCTATCTATCTATGCAGTAAACCTTCAGGCAGCTCTACATTTGTTGAAACTAGTCAGAAGCAGGGATCGTGTTATTTACTTTGTAATTTTATCCGTATCAAATAAAGAAAGCACCTGAAGAAGATCGCTAACACACACAGAGTGACAAACCCCTTCAGGCATCTCATCCAAATTTCCTCATTCCTGCTTCTCCATCCACTAGGTACGATCAACCAATCAGCGCGCACCTCTTTTTCTCGCTCTCCAATCACAACGCGATGCGAAAAGTGGGCGGTCCGTAGATGTCCGAGACGTATAAAAACCTAACTGTACGCCGCTGTCACGTCTTTGTAGCTGATCCGAACGCGAACCCGAAGGAAAGTACCCGAAACTCACAGCAAGGACAAGCAGCCGCGGAGTCTCCCCATCGCTCTATCGTCCAGCATGAAGGCCATCAGTCCCGTCCGCTCGGTGAGGAGCTGCTACAAGGCCGTGTGCTGCATCTCGGAGCAGAGCCTGGCCATCGGCCGGAATAAACACCCGTACGTGGATGAGTCTGTGAGCGCGCTGTGCGACATGAACGACTGCTACTCCAAGCTGAAGGAGCTGGTGTGCATCCCGCAGAACAAGTCGGTGAGCCAGGTGGAGATCCTCCAGCACGTCATCGACTACATCTTCGACCTGCAGATCGCGCTGGAGGCGGAGGACGCGTCTGCGCCGGAGATGGTTTTATCCATAAAGGTGAGGGTTAGACGGAGTAGATGGTGGGCTGCAGGGTGGGCTTCTCATTCAACATCCCCAACAAAACGCACATGGAGCCTCAGTGTGGAGCTTAAGCTTCTGTTTGCACAGGATGGAGCTTTTCTCTGCTTCTGCTCTATTTTAAACTGTTTGTGGTCCAGAGGCTGATAGTGATCTTTTGTGATTACACCTCATCTCTAACATCTAAGCTATTCTTGTATCAATTTGTCACGTGCTGTCAGCTGCTAAAACTCTTTGTTTTCTTTCTGCTTCTCATTCAGGCTGCAGATATTACTCGCAATTTCTCCAAAGAAGAAGAACGATTGTGCCATTAGGATGTGGATGGAACAATACTGGTACGCATCATACATCTCCATAAAGAAACTTGTTTTAAATAAATCAGTCATAGGGGAGCACAAGTTGTGATTTTAATGCAAAAGGAAATAAATCCAGCTCAAACTGTGTGCTAAATCTGTACATTCAATGTGCAGCCAATTAAACAGGCCAGTGAACGTGGAGTGGATTCATTGCTATCTGCCTGGGGTTAATGAAAGTTCCATGCTAGGCGCCAGTCTGTCTGCTCCCCTCTGCAGGGAGGGAGGGAGGCAGAGATCTGACTTCACTTTTCTTCCTTTCTCTCCATGCAGGTGCAGGGAAACACATGTCTCCACTTCACTCCGGGCAAGAGGACAAGAGGGGCAGAAAAAAAAGAAAGAAAAAGGAAAGGGGGGGGTAGGTATTTGGAAGAGAGGGAGAAGACAGAAGAGGAGGCGGAGGATTTAAAGACAGAGGAAAGAAAGAAGAAAACATTGAACTGTTTCTGGGATGAGTGGGGATCAACAGCAGCAGTGCATGAGCGAGAAAACAGAGACTCATTCTTTGGCTCCTGGACAGACAGAATCAACACACCAAAGCAGAGGAATTGGAAACTGAAAGCGATGTGTATGTCTTCCCTTCATAAATGCAGTTTCTTTTAGAAGAACTGAAAAATTTATCCTCTTTTTTTTGTTTTACATTTTTAATGCATTCCAAGCATCACTTCCCATCTGAAATAATCTGCACCAAGTCCTCACCTCATTTAAGAACCCCCTCCCTCAACTTCCAAAACAGATTGTCTGTTAAAGCATGTGTACATATCTGCTGTGGGTTTGTAAGACGTGAGTCATTTTGGATGTTTTTTTTGTTTGTTGTTGTTTTATTTTTTAACGGGACTTTTAGCTGATATATTCTAAACTCTATACTAGAGTTTATTATAAACGTTTGTAGGGATTGTCTTATTTCTACAGACAACATGCTGTGAGTTTCATAAACTCTTTATTTTAAAATTTAATTTGTATCTATGTTATGAAATAAAAAAAAACATGATGTGAAACACTTTGTGTGGTGAATTTACCATTTAAAAAATGAATGAGTCGTCTCTTTCGTGACTTCTGGGCTTTGAATGACAACGAAGGGCTGATACAACAGGATGTGTTCAGATGAATCTTGAGGTTGGGTGGTTGGAAATCAAGCAAAGGGAGTTTCCTGTGAATGCTTTTTATTTTTCCATTGAAGGAGTAACGGCCAGCGTCAGCAGCTTCTAACGCGGTGAAGATCACAACTGAGCTCCTTACGCCAAAAAAAAAAAAAACATAAAAAGAGTGCCCCCTTTTGTGACCTTGCAGGTGTAAAACAGGTTTCATCCATGACAACAAAAAAGTGTGGTGAGAACTTTATTTCTTGCAATAAATGCTTAAGGTTTTATTTAAAAAAAAAAGAGATAATTTTGTGCACATTGTCCTATAAATTATCACTTCATGTGAGATTTCTAATATATCTCTAGGTCTTAGCAGCGTAATGATCTGACTTTGAAAACAACTGAATTTGAAAATGGAGGCTCTGACCTCAGTGGAACCTCTGAATAATTACACAGAAGAGTAGATTTTATGTTTATACTATTTTTACGCGCTTACAAACCTACGAAAAAGACAAATATTTGTTGTACTGAAAACATGAACACGGTGACCTACTTCTTACCTTTACTCTACTTGCCGTTAGAAAAGTTACAGCTCCCTCTAGTGGTAATTAGAAGTTATTGTCTAGAATCTTTGTCAAGCAAGTCAACATTTCTGCTACATGGATAAATATATATATATATTTATATATACTGTATATACAGATGTTTTGCAGAGATTATCAGAATAAAATATATAAGAGATTTTTTATATAAGAGTTTTATAAAGTATATTTATAAAGTACATACATAAAGTACATTTAAAGAAAACCAGGTTTGAATACATTTAAATTAAATTTAAGTGAAACTATATCAGTTGATTACTTCAAATAAGACTGAATTGGATAAAATAATAATAATAATAATAATAATAATTTCAATCAGGAGAGACTCAGATGAGAATGAAAGCGATTAGAAAAGTTAGTTAAGTCTTTGGCGCTCGGGCCCCGGCTAAGGACATCGAGCTGACGCGATAAGCTCGGATGAGCGTTCCCGATGCTGATAGGAATGACATCCCCCCGGGACCGGCCTGGTGGTGGAGGTCAGTGAATGAGTATGCCTGGGAGCCTGGACGATGGAGGTGGAGAAGGGGTGGAGGTGGGCTGAGCGCAGACTCGGGAGCGTCTGATGGGGAAGGAAGGGTCGAGAACACGGCAAAGCAGCTGTACGCAAGGAATCACCAAGAAAGGGATCCGCTGGGATGGTTTGCTGGGAAGCTGGGACGTGCGACTGAACGTGTTGAGCGCAGCAGCGAAACGGGAGGCACTTTGGATGGACGTCCTTATGAACTGAGGCGTGGTCGGTGATTGGCTGCGATATGGCTAAGTCTAGCGATGATAGGTCGTCAGTGATTAGCGGGAAGCGCCTATTGAAAGCTGCGTGAGGGGCTAAAGAGTCTTCCAGATTGAATTTACGCCTAGGCTTCATAATAATAATAATAATAATAATAATAATAATAATAACTTTTGACAATTCTATATTAGTTAGATGTATAAATGTATATATAAATCTTGAATTTATAAATTACATTTTGTTACTTGTATTTATATGGTTAGTTATTTAATTATTCCTGTCACATAGTTTATGGTCAAAATGAATCAAACTGTCACTGTGGCTCATGAAAAACATCCCAGCATTTTATTGTTATTCAGAACAGACGGTTCATTTCTGATCCATGATATTGAAAAAAGCGATGGTCCCACACATACTGACAGATCAGAAAGGGTTCAATGGAATGAGTTTGTGATAAATTCAACTCCCCAAATTCACTACATAAATAGGAAAATACTCGCAGATGCTTTTAGTATATGAAATGGGCATTTAAATTATCATAAGCATTAAATTATACATGTACCTATTTTACCATTTTATTAACATATTTAAGCCATGATTTGATGTTTATTATCACAAAATATATGTATATGTATATTGATTCAAAACATTCTTTTTTCTTGTATTTTCAGTGCAAATGGTAAAAAAAAGGTGTTTCTAAATATCTTGTAATAGTTTCATAATCATGAGAAACTTTTCATCACCCAAAGAAAGCAATTCATCAAAAGCAAACTAGGGGGAGCAGTGACACAATCTTTGGCTGCAGTTTACTTAGTGAATGAAAATGAAGACAGGATTTTTTTATGTACTTCTCAGTTCTTTAGCAGTCAGTAAAAACCTGTGGTAAAAGTTTACAGCACAAGATGGGGGTGTTGGACAAGAATGCACCAAAATGAGTACAAGTAAATATATCAAAAAATAATTTTTTCCTGCCTATTGAACAGTTTTACCACACAAAAGAAGCAAAGAGATTCTTCTACATTTGTCAGGGTTAAGATTTAATAGCGATAAACAGCAAAGTTAAGATTTAAATCACTGATTATAAATAAATCCTGTTTGTAATAAACAAAACTAAGAATTTATTTTACTATTTTATTTTACTAAACACTAATGTTTATCTGCAAATGATTAAACGTGCAAAACTATTGATAAAAGGGAGAATGGCTGCGATTAAGTTCTACAAAGGCCTGCTAATGATCTACTGATTTGACACATCCAACCATCCAGGACTACAGTTTGAGACTCCTGGTTTAGATGCACATAGCAAAGCAGACAATGCAAACAAAAACATTTATTCCCACCAAACATGAAAGTTTAATCAGATATATTTCAGTTGGGAAAGATGCATGATAAAAAATATATTTTATATTCTTTACTTTTTCTCGGTCTGCTACTTTCTTCTTCTCCAGTTATTGCTTTTTTGCAGTTATTTCAAGTGTTAACTTTGTTTCCACTCAGTTCTTTTTAAAGATCTTTCTGAATAAGATCATTCATGTAAGAGAAACTTTGACGTACACTGAGGTTCTCAGACAAACCCTGAAAGCATAACAATGTCAAAGCAATAACCTACTCTTGTAGGTTATGTCTTTGTGTATATATTCTATATATTAGTAGTTAAAAGTTTATTTGAAGTTTAATTCAAGTCACCCAAGCCCAGATATAATTTAACAACATGTGTGTATGCCCTCCTTTATTTGCTGGATCACTCCAGTTTATGCAATCTGTAAAAGAAAGTGAAATCCCACATCTGCACATTTCACAACATAGGATCTTTGCACCAGTTTGCCTCATTAAAGATGAAGAAACAGAAAGTGGAGATAAAATAAGATCTAGTTATAATCTCTTTATTTTATACAGTTTATGATTCCTTTTTACTGTTGTAAGTGTTTCATGCATTGGACAGTGGACAGCTATCTAAAAGCCATGTTCTTGTGCTTCTTGTAGATTTGTATGTTATAAATACACACAGACCACTGAAATGGACACTAATCATCATAAAATACACTATCAACTACTGGCCATCAGCTGCAAATGCAAGAAATTATTTTTGTTAAATCCAATATGGCCGACAGACAAAAAAGCATGACAACAGACCCCGTTCCTCCTTCTACTGTAGACGACTCTTGTAGGTAAAATAAATATTGTGACATCAGATAACCCCTAAAGAACAATATTACTGATGCATTTTTCAAATAACAACATTTTATTTGGAGAAAATTACAATTGATCACCTAAAATTATTTTCCCTACCTTTTTTTTAATGCCTTAAAATAAAAATAAAATAAAAATAATAAATTCATGCATGAAAGGGTTAAATTCCCTAATAAGCTAAACACACAAAACATATTTCTGAAAACTTTCACAAACATATTTTTTCTAAAATTCAGCCCTGATCCAGTCATGACAATAGTCTTGCTGTGATAATGAGTTTACTTTGTCTAGGCCAGTGGGGGTCAGGTCATGTGGCTTGGGTTTGGTCGCTGTGAATGGGGGCGGGCTGTTTTCTTTCAATATCTCTTGTGAGCCAATAAGCAAGAGTTCAGCTGACTGAGTTATCATTTACAGACTTCCCTCTGCATCTCTGAGCCACACCCACTAGGCACTTTATCACAGGGAAACGAGAAGTACAGTATAAAGAATATTTAAAAAAACACATGATGGAAGACATCCTCATTCAAAAAAAAAGAATTTAAAAATTGCAATATATATAAGAATGAGAAGAGAAATAAATTAAACTGTAAATATGTTATTACAACATATTACAACATGTTATTCCCACTTTTTCTTCTATCAAAGATAATAATAAGCGGTCATGTGAAGCAAAATAACTCAACACAGTCCAGGGAACAATTAGAAATCTTTTCCTTTCACCAGGAATTAGGTTATTTCCATAATTCATAATAATAAATTTCCAATCTTTAAATCTTTGAGTCTTTATACACCGTTATAAAGATGTTTTTCTTAAATGCTCGTTTATCATAGCTTTAAAGATGTACATATAGTTAACCTAACACACTTCTATTGTCTTCATCCAGCCCAGCAATAAACAACCTGATGTCAAACTGAGCTACTGTCCCTTTAAGGGCTCCAGTTCCAGCCCTGCACAAACTGTTTCATACAAAAGTGACAAGCCGAGCGTGCCGCCAGCCAATCAGAGGCGAGATCTAACCGCGGGAGATCTGAATTTCGCGGGATCGAGTTTGGCGCTAAAAAGACTCTTCTTCTGTTGTATGGAGAGAGCTGCTCTGCTCCGCGCTGTACGGACAGTAGGCTTGGATTGGTTCCGACTCCGTTTCAGAGGCAGACTCTCTAACCTGGATCCAAACTCATAGAACCCGAACTACATTTGTTCCCCTTTTTACTGCTGGACATTTAAATGTTTGTTTAGGGAGCCGCTTTTAGTGACCGGTAAGGGAACTTTTCTTTAAACTATCCTGCAGAACAAAGGATCATAACACTGAGTGCAATCTGAATATCCTAATAATATATTAAAAAGAACGTATTCTGCATGTTTACGTTTTCTATTGATCATATTGTAGGTTAATTGCATTGTTGTTCAGCATTTAATTTCTGTGCTCGGCTCA